TTTAAGTTTGTCAACACCGTAAACAATACAATTTTTACTTTGAACAACTATGAACGATAGACGATAGTAAGTACCTACATTTAAACTTGTTCAAGGTCTGGGTCTCTGACGATAGCGTAAGGTATCTATACAATGATATTGTGAGTTTTATAGTTATAATCGAATCATTTTTTTCAATACGAGAACTCGTAATTAGGACGTTCTTGCAGGTCGTATCGTATTGTATAACAAACAAAACCGCCGTTAACGTTTCTATTTTCCCAGCGAAGACGATGACCAATGACGATAGGTATAATACAATGACAAAAATACATGTAAGTAATATGTTTGGGACCCGACCTATCAGTTTATTTTATATGATTTTTTAACGTTAGAAAAAATAAAACGGGATCAACTGCTCGACAGTTGTCGTCACTCGTCACTCTCCGTCGGAACGGATCAAGGACAGGATGGGTGACTATATTTGATGAGTACCTAGTACCTACGCACGTGCAGACGACGGTAAATGACAGGATGATGACCGTTCACTATATTTATACAGTTAGGGAACAGTCCAACAAAACACAAATTTATCCCACCCCTTCTTATAAATTATTTTTGCACTTGTAAAAGCTTGCTAGGGAATAGTTGTATTTTATTTTTTATAAAATGTACAATATTTTATCATTCCGTAGCTCGCATTAATTGTTCGTTATGACTACAGCCGTCCCCAGTATGTCGACAAAAACTGAACCTAATACGCCATGTATACGCGCGTTTCCAAAAGGACGACGAAGACAAAGCTTACACAGCCACCATTGCCATTATCATCGTCGTCGTCGTTGTTCATCGTATGTCCATCACACACGCACACGATAATAATGCCGCGAGGACGACGCGTACACGCACAAACGAACACACGCTCTCACACGCGTGTACATAAACGGGTAACGTGCGGACGTCGACCGTAAAGCCACACGAATACATTTTCTGATAATATATGGGACACTGTGTTTATAACATAATGATCGTAATGATAATAATCATGAGATGCCATTTGAATGTTTTTATTATTATTTTTTTTTTTTTAACGCGTGCTCGAGTATGCGTACAATCGTTATGAATGTACAACAGGTATTATGTACATAAATATCTGTTAAGACAGTTTTTAAGTCACCCGGTCAATATAAGGAAGGTACTTCCAATACGTATGTATATCGCTGGATACTTTATACACATACGTTTACGAGTATCAATCGTCGGATCCAGTTTTATCAGATTTGAGGTGAATACAAAATAAAATACATGGGCGAGACCACGTCATTCACACCTTCTGCGCAAACACTTACTAAACGTATAACTATAACATATTATATGATGATATGACTAACGGCATCGCGAATATCCGCCTGGATCCTTTCACGTAGTTGTCATCCGATTCTGTTGTGTATGCGTCTTACAACGCTCGACTTACGTCCACTCCCATCAAACCACCCACTTGCACATAAGATACAGGACTAATTTTAACAACAGACTGAATTATTATTGTATTATTATTTTTGTTAAACACTGCATGATACCTGGATGCTGCTGGATAATGAATAGGTTAAGACGTTAATATTTGTTTTTTTTTTTTTTAAGATACATATAAAATTCCTGAATTTTTTTTTACAATAATTACAGTTATTACTAAAAAAGTTATGAAATGAAAGGTCTTGTAATAAACATGTTTCGATTGATACCTATTAAAATATTAAAATTATATAATACCTAAATGTTTTTATTGAAGAATAAGAACAATTTAAACGGATTTATTATGTTAAACGATTTAAAGAAAAAATTTGACAACTAAAATTTAAAAATTATATTTTTATTTTTAAATATCTCCCTAACTATTATTTAAATTCCACAACTATCTGTTTTACGAATTTGTGTGCGAAGCGTAGACGGCTTAATTATGAATTAACTAAGGTAATTTACTTAACGAAGTCACTAATCAAGATATTAAAAATACTAAAATATTTACATTAAAATTGTTGTTTCGTAGCAATATCTATGAACAAATAATATTATAAAATAATGTAGCTACGTGAAAACATAAAATACTTTATATAAGATACTTCTGTTATTTAAAAATCATGCTATAATAGAAAATTATTACATTTTTTTAACAATGCTTATTTGAAATTCGTCACTTTTTAATGAGTCTATTATTATCAAACATATTTAACTACTGAGTGTTAAAAAAAAATATTTTATTGGATAAAGGCTTTCATAAGTATTCCAATTTTACGGTATAGGTACCAATGTGATTTCATTGAAAATATGAATAGACGAAAAATGTATGTACAGTTATTATTATTTTGACGTGTCAATGGCTAGACCTAAAGATTCTTGAAAGGACGGACGTAAATTATTATTATACAATTGTACTACATAGATTTCAATTTATATTTCAGCTACCATCAACGAATAACGATTATATTATGTTTCAAATAATCTACTAAAATAGTTATATTTTAAAAATATCAAAAATGCACGTGTTTAAAAAATTACGCTGTTATTAGGTATTCTATGTTAATATTTTATTATTAATTGTTATTATTCATTGATCACATATTATTGTTAATATTCACAAATAAAAATTTATTTTTTTAGTAAAAAATTAATACGAAATTAAAAGTGATGGCTTTTATATGTATCATACTTTATATTATGTACTTTTATGAGTATATCTATACATAACCACCTACCTGGTACTTTTAATATTATACTGCATTAATCGTAATTTAGGAATTATTTATTTAAAGATACATACAACATCAAATTAAAAAAACTATTTTAATTTATATGTAAAGTAATAATTTAGTTAATTGTATAATATTATTTAGCAGTTATCTATAGATTATTTTTTAAATACCTACGAGTAGTCTCTTTTTTGGCAAAATTTACAATTGCCTATTCGGCCAGTTCAGTTTTCTTTAAAAATTATAAGCTTAACAATTTTTAAATTTAATTTTAGTAATATTAATAAATATTATATCACAAGTAATAGCTCTGGTTTATCTTTATTTTCAAAAAAAAAAAAAAAAAACCCAACTATAAACTAAACGAAATTAAACTTATATTTAAGACAATAAAAAAAAATAATGAAATTTGTCAAATAAAAATTAATTTCTAATTTAACTAGGATAATATATTAGAAAAAAATGTATTGCAAATTATTTTATTTTTAAACATAACTTTGCTAAAAAAATATTGAATAGTTATAAAAAAAAACTTAATCTTAATTTTTGACATTTTTGAAGGAATATTTTTTCAAACAGTTGGATGTAATACGTGTATAATAATAATTAAAAGTCGCATTTATGAACATGATCATATTTAATTAAATATAAAAATTATTAAGTTCTGTGATAACAACTATAAATTTCAAAGAAAACTGTACTGGTCAAAAAGGTTGACGCTTCTGTTTACCTATACCAACAACAATTTTGATATAACTAAAACATTTATTAATAAACCAAAAAATAGTATTTAATTATATTAATTATAAATATAATTATTTTTGAAAATAAAAACTGTATTAAAATATATAGGTATCTAATCTTATAATTTGAAAAATATAAATTAAAACTGTAGTTGATAAAGAACCTTTCTATCAAAAGTAATAATGTAGGGCAATATTAATTATATAATAATATAGCTGATTCTATTACAAATAAAGTACCACTACATTAGTTTTAAGTTTTATGTTTAAATTTTACACTGTAATTATTATAAATTAAAACACAATTTTAATGTCATATTCATGTATATTCATGTACCCCATAAGTTTACCTATAATTTAAAATAAAATAACTTGATGATTGTATTCTAGTTTAGTTCATGTTTTGAACAATTATTAACAAAGAAATAACAATTGTATTAACTACAAGCGTCTTTATAAAAATATTCAAATTTATTCGTTTAAATTAAGTTTTAGACATTTAAATAATAATAATATAAACGATTGAAATATGATAAAAAATTGTGGTACCTATATAGTAATTTAAGAGAAAATAACGTTAGATTAGATATTTACGTCATAGATCTTTTTGAAGAAAATATTTAGGAGATGTTTATTAAGTAATTTAAATTAATTTCAGTATTCTGTATTACTAAATAACAGAATAATTATATAAACATCATATTGTTATCTATATTACTACAATATTGTGAACTATAGTAACATAACAAAATAAGCTGTTTCGAATTTAAAAAAATATTATATTTTAAAAAGATTGGGAGTAGAAAAATGTATTTAAATATATACTTATGTTGTTAAGTATTTAGGTACCTACTATTTAATATTTGTTTCCTTAATAATTGACTATATACTCGTACAACATTACCGTGTATGTTGTTATATTATATGAACCATAATTATTTTTACTTGTATTCTTATAATATAGTTATTAAATGTTAAATGTTTGATCGACTTATCAAACTTTCTCGTATTAAGTAATATGGCAATTGCTTAGTTTAGCCGAAAAACATACAGTCCATTGCAGATTTTACTTTGGCAAATAATTCAATTTAATTGACTATTGGATTTCTTTGTTAAACTTTTAACGAATAAGACTCAACGTGTTAATCCGCCAACTATACAAGCCGTAATAAGTGTAAACACGTTATTGAACAGCAATCAATTTACCAACGCGGCAATGTGCATCGTAAATGTTAAATATTATACCAGTTAAAGAATAGATGAGATGACGTTATGCAGTGCGATTGAAATTTTATACACAAACAATATAATTACACATGTATATTATTGTATTTTAGATAAAGGTACACGTATTGTAATCGTTTGGCGTGACGCTATAATGATATAATATGCTCATGTCGCTACACTGAGACAGGAGAATAATATTTAAAATTACAAATTCTAATTATATTATAAAAAGAAAAAAAAATGAAATAAATAAAAAATAATAAATAGGTATAATAAATGTCTAGTTTTGATTTTGGTTTCTTACCAGTCACCGTGCTCCAATTTGTAAACGATCAGAAGGAATCGACTGCACGAGGATCAGCGATCTAATTGCAGTGCGTCGGGTGATATCACGTGATTTTGTTCATGTTTTCCCGTCGTTCACAGACGATTTTCTCTTGACGATTCCGAGCGACGACGATACGAGGCGGTGCGCTCTGACTGTCGCCGCCGCAGTGTTTATCAATGTCGGGAACGCTGATCGACCGGCGAGGAAGTGTCAACGGCGGCGGTGTGATTGAGAGAGGCAAAAATTCTGGGGAAGGAAACGTAAATGAAAAAAAAAAAAAATGAACGATTGAACGAATCGACTCGACGGCGCCGGGGGGGTATTCGGAGCCGACCGAAACGCAAGACTCGAAAGATCGGAGGACTGCAACTCGCGTTCTCAGCTCACAGTGCTGTGTACTGATATAATATAATGTATTATATTGTAGTTTTATTATAATACTATCATGAATGAATATTTACGCGTCCGGAGCGGATCGGAGCGCGGATCGTACAACGGCCGGCCGGCTAGTGACGATGAGAGAATAAAAAAGCCGACGACGGGCGATGACGATTTTTCCGGGGGGAGGAGCCGACCACCGTGATATTATATTATTAGGTATAGGAGGCAGTAGGGCGGGCGGTTTACGAGGCACGCGTATAATATTATTATTTTTTTATATTATATATAAATATATACGTATAATATGTATACGCGTTGAACTCTCCGAAATGGGAAACCTTGAACTGAACCGCGCCGCCGAGTGTAACCGGTCTGCGCACGCGATTGCCCTACTGACTCAGTCCGACGAAATCCGAACGGAATGCACGATGCGGCGGCGGCGGCGGCAGCGCGACGGGCAGCCACCGCGGGGAGGGGAACCCACGGGGCCCGGCGGTGGGGGTACCGGTCGATGCGCGGAAGAATTTTTCTTTTTTCGCTCGATCGGTCGGATGGAGGATGACTGTTGGCGGCGTTTTCTCCCGCTCGGGCACACGTAAAATAATTTATTATACATTATATTATTATTATTATGGTATTTTATACTCCTCATATATACATATAAATATTGGTACGCTCCCGCGCATACAGGGCGATTCGGAAAGTGCATTTTGAAAATTGTTTTTCCACCAGTGTGTGTTTACGATTCCAAAATGTCTAATATAATTTTCACCTATAGGTATAAAAATAAATCTATATAGAGACTGGAATATTGTAATATGCATATTATTTGACTCCGTTCACTGCAAGATCAGTGATCACCACTGGAAGTTGTAGTTATTTTCATTTATAGCCCGTAGGGTTTAATCATGTATAATGCGTATATATACACACATTTGATATATTTTATAATTTATATAGATACCCTAACAATATATGATATTATAAAATTGATTTACCACTTAGATTATTAATTCTCATAATTATTAATTATTATCCAAGATACAACATCGATATTGATAATCTTGTTTGTATTCTTTGATTTGTATACGACTTACACATACTTATAACTAGAGTGCGGATTCTTATGTAATAAAAATGCTAAAATATGTAAATATATATGTTTTTTGTTTTTGCTAAAATATTTATTAAAAAACATGAAATACCTATTTAACAAAAAAAAAAAAATTTGTCGATTGATTTATTACATAAATTTTTTTTTTAATTTTATTAAATAAATTCATCATCATTGTTTTCTTATGGAATCAATTGAAGCTGATACAACATACACTTGGAGATTTTCAAATTTAAATGTACGATGGTTAGATCTCAAAATTGATTTGTAGCAGCTGAAAGAGCGTTCAACGTAATAAAAATAAGTGAAAATATATAAAATAAAAAAGTGTTATTTTATTTAGGGTGTTATAAAACGTAGGTATTTATTTTTAATCAGAATTAAGAAAACTTCATTCAATAAAATTATTTACTTACATAAAAATCTGTGTCCTACTTATAACGGTTGAGATCTAAAAAAAGGTGAGTAATGTTCTAAGAATGGACAAAATTCACTAAAAAATAAACTTTTGACCATCACGCCATAAGCATTTTCATTTTTACTTTATCACAAAAATTAATTTCATATATATTTTAATATTAAAAATTATAATAATTCTAAGATTTAAAATATATGAAAAAATCGGAAATAACGATAAGCGATTGTAGTTGTCGAAAACCATATTATCTTAAATCTGTATTATTCATTCTTAAAAAAAAAAAATAATAATAATAATGTAAGGCTATAATTATAATAAATTAAATTAACTATCAAATCTTCATCAAAAACTCAATAAATATATATATTATATATATGCTCTAAAAATTAATAAAATGACCTAAAAAATCAAAGTAAAAGTTTCACTTTTTGACTATCTATTACATGAACTGTATGATGTATTTGAAATCGCATTGTTCTAGAAATCTAAAACATAAAAAAATGTACTTTACATTGAAATCTGACCTAACAAAAACTGTTCATAAGTAGTAAAAATATATAAGTTTTCATTTCTATATTTCAAAATTTCAATAAACGCCGATCTATATAAGTGGTTGCTTTTTCGATTTTTTTTATTTTTAACCAGGTGTGGTATTTGGGATTATAGTGAATAGTATATAGATCCATTGTATGCTAATTAAACCTTTTTTAATTTATTTGGCTGGTGATTTTAATAACTGTATTTTATAAATTTCTATGATAAAAATAAACACAGTTTTGCATTAGTAAATTATTGGTTATAGAAAATATTCTGCTTGGTCTTTTACAACTTATTACCAAAATGCCCATTGATGATTAAATAATAGATATAAAATAAGCCATACTTATACAGGAAGCTGGCTATGCTAAATGTTGCCGGAGCTCTGTAATCGGAATGACGGCGCTAACGAGCCAAATGAGGCGACTATCATTCTATCTACCGTAGTTATAATACTATACCGACTACCATGTTTTGAAAATTCACCTCAGCTTCTTATAATTTTACATTTCAGTTAAAAACGTGTAGCTAATGTCCTATTCATTTTTTTATTACTTATTTTCTTTAAAATTAGTTTTTACTGTATGTAATATATATGTGAACATCATGTCTAGAACGTTCACTAATCTAATCCTACTACAGTATATATATATATATATATATATATATATATATATATATAGCCATATAGGTATCTAGATACTGCAGTGGTTTCCAAATATTATTATTCTATTTTTTACTTTCGTCTATAAAGATTTAGTATGCAGATCTCACAATAATACAATTTATATTACGTATATATATATTGTTTATTGGTATAAAAAATTAATACAAATCTAAATATATATCTAATTGATTTAAAATTATATTCGTACAACCTAAAATCTTGTACTTTTCATGAAAATTGTATTGGTCACTCGTGGTTATCGGGTCTTTTACTCGTGTCTAAAACCATTTTTTGATAAGATTTCAAGTTCATAGCATTTATCGTTAAGGCTATAATTTCTGAATTCGATCACTCTGTATATGCACATACGGGACGAGCATACTTGCACACCCATTAACACACAGTACACACAAACTCCATAACGGGAACTACCTGTTTGATTCAGATACGTATACTGTATTTAACGACTGCTTTAATATGTTGACTATTCGGTAAACATCTATTATATGGCACAGATGAAACATAACCAACTAAATAAATATTTATCCTAGCATTAAGTATTAACCAATTGAATATTGAGGTAGGAGATTATAGACGTTTGAGATTTATTTCCGAAAAATAATTTGCCATGTTGTACAATTATGTTTTATGTGCGAAATTGTATGTATTATATATATTATTCAAATTAATTTTGATTTTTATAGTAATTTTCTTTTAATATAGGTACTTATGTTAGGTATAATAAGGATCTATAATCAAGTATTAATAACAATATTTTTAACGATATCCACTGCCGTTAATCATACTGAATACTTGATTTTAATCATAAAATTCCACAATAACTAATATGAAAAACCTAGCGAAATTTCTCTAAAATGCAGTATAGTAGGTTTTTAGTGTACCATGTCTTTGAGTAAGTTACTTATAAGTAGAACTAGAATTTAAATGCAATAAAAAATTGTAAAATATGTATTTGATTTATTAAAAATATGCAAAAATATGCCTTATGAATCTATAACAAAAGTTAAATGAAAATACTTTTTGGCATCAATTTATTTATGTCCATAAAATCTGTTCCAAATTATCATAATTATTGGTCTATGGCGTCTAATTTACATGATAGTTTTAATTCGTTACTATAATGACTGCTAATCGTTTTTATTGGCTATTGGCCACACAAGTCGCTTACATTTCAATGAAAAAACGGAAATTATAACCATGACAAGTTGTATAAAATAGTCCATTATTAACACGATTAAATGAAACGTTTGAGAATTTCTATAAGCCACATCAAACTGTCGCTGTTAATGAATCCATGATATTAAAATAGCAACATATTAAAATTGTATTGATTTTTAGTTTATATTTTAGTTAGAGTAAGTCATTGCATGGTAGTTTGTTACACTAATCACCATATTTTTATCGGTTAAATAAAAATGGAGTGTAATAAAAAAAAAAGTATCCAATAAAAAGGTTACTTTGATTTGCCACCTTTAACCACAAAGAGCTAATTGTAAAATGTAAATATGAAGGTGTAGTACTAATTCTAAACTTTATAATATATAAACAATAAACATAATATATTAAATGAACAATATTTAAACTTATCGTACGCGTGTCTAAAGTGACATAATTTACGTTTCATTTTTTACTTTTTAGTTTGTATATTGTAATATTCCAAAGTATAATAAAGTAATTTCTATATTACTTATTCAGGTTATTATCATATATGATTGATTTTGTATGTGAATAAATATGATTTTTTTTTTAATACTTTTATTGTTCGTTACTATTAACGTTATTCAATAATAATTTCGTTAACAGTATACATAATATTTATACTATATAAGGTATTTAAAATGTCTTGTCAAGGAATATTGTATTAGTATATTTCTTTCTGATAATTATATTTTATATTAAAACTTATAATCATATACCTAATTTCAGATTTAATATTTGTTATACGTGGCATAAAATCTTGTTTAAATCAAGTAATGATGTATAATATTATAATATCCAGAAAGTAACAAGGTGGGAAATAGGGCGACACAAAATCTCTCATGTAAGATAATGACAATTATTATTAATATAATTAAAATTAGAAAAGTTTTTCATTTAAAAAATATCTCATTACGTTTTGAATACAAAAAATATGATTTTAATAGTTCACACTGATATTTTAAATAGTATTGAATAAATAAATATTATAATATAATAATATTAGTTTATACTAATTCAACAGTGTGTAAGTTTAATATAAATCTTATGTTCTGATATTATTGCAATTCTGCTATAAAAATTAAAAATAAACATGAAAATATCATCCTACATTCCTACCACATCTATAGTATGAAAAAGGGGAAAAAATGGAATTTAAATACCAGATTATGTATAGCTTTACATAGAAACTGGCATTTGTTTCGAATGTATTATAATTATAATGTATAAATATATATAATGAAATTAACCATTTAATTCGTAACAAATATTCGCCAGTCTAGGCGATTAGTATCACTTGGAAATAAATAAAATAAAACTGCACAAAATAATAATGTATGCAGATAGATTATTTTATGAAAATAATCATCTTACGATAATATTATGTACCTATAATTAATA